AACCCCCAAACCCTACACCCCTCAACCCGAAGCCGGGAAGCTGCAGAGATGCATCCAAAGAGCCCAATACGCCTTAATTCAGGTATACACCTTAAACTATAAGGGGCCTTCAGATGTTTGGGGTTTATAGGGCTTAGATTTAAAGGTATATTCCTTAATTGCGGGGTATTGGGCTCTCTAAACCCTAAACCCTAAACCCAAAACCCTAAACCCTAAACCCTAAACCCTAAACCCTAAACCCTAAACCCTAAACCCTAAACCCTAAACCCTAAACCCTAACTCTCTGGGCAAGGCGGCTTGCCTTGGAATTCAAGACGCCTGACCTCGAACTCGATCAACTCCGGTTCCTCGGAACTCTCGGGTCTAGGGTTTAGGGTTTAGGGTTTAGGGTCTAGGGTTTAGGGTGAAATATTACCTACTGTATACTATTTTGGATATTTTGGGGTCCCTGATTATAAGTATAGTATTCTGGGTCCCAAAACCCTATTCTAATCATTAAGGCCCCTATATTCTATTAGAGCCTTTACTTCAGGGTTTGGGGTTGAGGGCAGCTTAGGTGTTTTCTGTTCAGGATGTTGTTCCTGCGGTCTTGCACAGGCTATGTAGGGTGTTTGTAGAGTTGTGCTTGCACTGCAGGGCTTTAGATTTCTGAGTGGTTTTCTGAAGGTACCACGAGGGAAGGATACGGCCGACTGTGATCCCTGGTATAGGTTATAGGGGTTCCTCTCATGAATCTCGAAGAGATCACTTCGGGTTAAAGGGTTTGGCGTGAAGAGCTTCGGGCCAGTTCATCGGAGGCCTCAAAATGTGGGATGAAGCTAGGCAGGATAGACAACCCTAAATCCTAAACCCTAAAACTAAGTAGGATTAAGAACCCCTTATTTAGGGTTACACCACTTATCTTCATCCTACCCTAAACCCTAAACCCTAAACCCTAAACCCTAAACCCTAAACCCTAAACCCTAAACCGTGGACCCTTTTGAGTTCATGTGCTTGGCTTAGTTGTGCTGTGTTTTCGAGGCTCCTGGTGTTGGGGGTTAAGTCTTTTAAGTGCCTAAACCCTAAACCCTGAGGGTTTGGAGGGTTTAGGGTTTAGGGTTTAGGGTTTAGGGTTTAGGGCTTGTGGTTCAATTTCAACACTTGTTCCTTACTTTTTTTAGGGGTCTCAGGGTTTACAACCCTTGTAAGACCCCAAACTATCCACTATCGATCCTTTCTACACTATCACGTATCGATCCGTTCTAAACCCTAGATTTTCGCAGGAGTTGGAGGTTTAGAAACCCTAAACCCTAAACCCTAAACCCTAAACCGCAGCCAGGGATCGGTTGCAGTACGTAGCCTGGATCCCCAGAAATCTAGGGTTCGGGGCTCCCGGGTTTAGGCTTTAGAGGGTTTAGGGTTCAGGGTTCAGGGTTCAGGGTTTAGGGTTTAGGGTTTAGGGTTCGGGGCTCCCGGGTTTAGGCTTTAGAATTGCTTTGCGGTTTTGTTGTGTTGTGGACCGTTTCGGGTATTTTGTTTGGGGTTCTGGGTTTATGGGTTTAAGTGTGTGTGTCTGTGTGTGTGTGTGTGTCTGGGCCTTGTGTATGTCATTTGGGCCTTGTTTATTTCAAGTCTTTGGGTGGGTGCGGGGGTTCTGTTTGCGAGTTTAGGATTCAGGGCTCAGGGAGGGTCCTTCTGCTTCTGTAAAGGGTTTGGGGGTTTAGGGTTTAGGGTTCAGGGTTTTTGTTTTGACCCAACCCGTTTGTCTGCGTCGCAAGGTTCGAGTTCGTTGCCGTTCCGAGCAAGCCGGCAACGAACGAGCTTCGACGTCCCTGCCGCCGTTTGGCCTGCCAGTATAACTTGGCCTTGTGATTGCTCCCGTATGTAAGGGCTTTGTATTGAGGTCTCTGTTCAATTTGTGTAGTAAGTCGAGCAGGTGGGGTCCTCGATTTAGATTTCGGAGGTGCCTCCGGGACAATTGATTTAGGAATTATAACCCTAAACCCTAAACCTAAACCCTAAAGCGGTTTAGGGCTTTGTTGGTGCAGTCTGGGCTTTGCAGCTCTTTCAGGCTTTAGGGGTTTAGGGTTTAGGGGTTTATGGGTTTAGGGGTTTAGGATTTAG